TGCCGGATGTCGATTTCGAGACCCGGGTCTCCATTTTACCAGAGAAACCCCGACACCCCCCTCCAAGTGTGCATAGCCCCTGAGGGGCCAGGGCCTCTTCCTTGCAATTTGTACGAGATAAATCGTCCCCAAATCCTTTGCAGAATGCGGGCCTATAAGGGGTTCGCGATTGAGCCACGTTAAATCTGCTTGTATAACGAACGCAGCCAACGGACTTAATCTTAAAGTTATATATTGGTTAGTGGATCAAAGATAGCTCGCCGTCACTGCTTTTCCCGCGCTTTTATACGGAGCGCTGCAGAATCTGTGAATCATATGATCGACTTCATGCAATTTAATGCTTCATGACTTCAAGAACCTTCCAGACTTTCATCAACCTGCATTAAGCACCTTGTATTACCTAGTTGTACAGTAGGTGGATCGCTATCCGCATTCTACGCTGCTTCCATTGGACTTTACTACACTGCACATTGCAACATGAGCCGAATAGTTGAAGAGGGGAGCGGAGCGTCAACCATGCGCTGAGCAGAAATTCCTATATCAACACTTTCAGCTCTTTTTTGGTCATTGGCGACGCTCAAACGCAGCATGGAGGGCCTGATAGATGTGTACGAGAATGCAGGCCTCTTTAAGGTCGACCCTTCTAGGAGCGTGCAAGTTGGGACATCAGAGAAGCTAGCTGAAAATGTGCCCATCTTGTTTGAATCGCTTCGCTTCAAGGGAAGCCCAGGGACAAAGAACGGGGAGTCAGTGATTATGGAGTATGCAGAATTCAAGGCGCTCTTTGATGAATCGACGCTGGGCGTCTTGCAAAAGGTGAGCCATAAGAACAGATGTTTCAATCAAAGAAAGGTACTGGGGCAAATAAGTCCACAGGCCTAAACAACTTGAGCTTGTGAGACCAGCTTCTTGACGTGGGTTATCTGCTTCTGGGTTTGCTCAAGATGGCCACGTTCTCTTGATCAGGCTCAGCCCAGTCATATGTTTGGATAATACGTTAGGTGGCAGTGTCTTTGAGGATTTAGGCGGTTAAAGCGCGCACGCTAACCTGCCCAACGCGCTTGCTTCTTTTAAAAACTTCAGAAGTTCAACCCCCACATCTAGCAACATAAGTTCAGGCCTTTGTAATTGCAACTAGCAAGCGGCCCAAAGATGAGCCTCTTGCTGTGTGCTCCGTTTCTTCGGTCAGCATGCGTGACATACTGAAAGAAAGTCGGAATATACACGGTGGGACAACGTCCCTCCTGTCCTCAAGCTGATTGACTGACACCATATACCCATTGCAATCTGCATTCGTTGCATCAACGGTCTTCGGTGCCTGCCACCGGAGGGGTCGAGATTGAAAGTTTCGGAGCCCAGAATGTCCGCTCTCCCGTTAAGTGTCACCTTGCGAAGATGGTGTCAGACAATTTTCTCAGTCTTTCTGGATTGGGACAGCGGTCAACTCTGGTTGGAACCATTCTAAAGAACATCAACAGTCTTTCAAAGACCAGTTGGGGGTCATCAATCTCACTTATCCCATTCCAATGTGCTTCTTTTAAGGTGCTCCCAACCAGGCACCAGTGTTTTGAACCTTAGAATCATGAAATTTGAGTTCCTATCATGTTCTAATTATGAGGGTCACATCATTTTGCAGGTCGATGACTGGGACAATTGCATGGTCGCTGGGGGTCAGGTCCTGGCTTGCCTCCGCGGCTTGGACCCCTCCATCGACAAGCCCTCCGACATCGACATCTTCATGTACGGTCTTGAAGAGACCGAACAGTGGCTCGCACGTGTTCATAAACTTTTGAGCCAGATTCACGAGGGCTACAAGATTGCGAACCAGTGCAACCCCGACGATCGCCCGTCTGTGTTCATCGACGTTGTTCGGACTGACCACACGCTGACGCTTATCCCCAAGTACGAAGTGGAAATCGACGATGAGTGGGTGTCGTTGCCCAAAGTCCAGGTGAGTGTTACTACGAGGCAGGAAAGTTAGACATTTCATGGTTTGATTCCGAGCCGACTTTTGACGCCTTTCTTCCGCAAAATTTTGCTTCAAAGGCTGGCAGTTCGAGAGCTGTGGACCTGACGGCCTTTCAGGAACTCATCTTCCTGGATCAGGAGGGAAACAGTGGCTTTCGAGAAGTCGATTTGTAAGTGACTGGACAAGTTCAAAGCCCTTGTTCTAACATGGGTGTGACTCATCGCTGGTCGGGTTGGTCCACAATTCGATCCAAAGCTGGCCAATGTGACGATTGGGCGCCGAGTGCTTCTTCAAAAACCCTCTTAATATCATTGAAAACCAACCTAAACGAGGAATTTGGTACACATCAACAATCCTTGTTAACCCGGATGCAGATTGTGACGCGAAAGTTTGATAATGCTGCAGCCGTCCTGGCGTGTTTTGATGTTGACTGCTGCTGTGTCGCCTTCGACAACACCAAGGTTTGGGCCAGCCCACGTGCGGTCCGTGCGCTGCGCACTGGTGTCAACCTCATCGACCTCAAGTTTCGGTGAGACTTTGTCGCAGACGCTTCCTCGTTTTGACTTCTACTTCTTCAGTGTATGAGGTTTCTGGTCCTAGGGTCATCTACATTACGTTGTACGCATCACAGAAGGTGATTGATGGTGCAAAAGTACACAACTCAAGCGTTGAGATCCTGGGCTGCCCTGCCTGTTGTCACGTAAACTCACGGCGCTCGTGACCTTGTTTACATCGCTGTTTTTCGCATTGCCTGCGGGATGGATATCGCCAGCTACCGACATCTGCACCCACATCTTTTCGCAAGACAGAGTCTAAACGTATGACTGTTTGATTCCAGGAGCGCCACTTTCGAGAACCGTCTACTCAAGTACTCCCGGCGCGGGTTTGCGGTGCAAGACCCGGAGATGCGGGGCCACGCACTCGCGTGTCTAGACAACTACTTTGGCGGAGATCAAGGCGTCAAGGAGAAAGTGGACCTGGAAAACCTGGTGCGCTGCATCCGGCGCAGCACCGGGCTGCTGAAGCTGCTGCTAGCGGACTTGGCGGGGAGGCGGGGCGTCATCTGGGCGGGTGTGATCGTCGATTCGGCCTCTTTTGACGGTGCGTCAGTTTGTACGAAGCACCGAATCCTTCTTGGGTATCAGACTCTCTGGAGAGGGACCTTGGTATTACCGAAGGGGTTACGGATTGCAGTGTCACGAAGACCTCGTGTTCAGATCAAGCCCAAAACAAGTTCTGATTCCCCCTGGTGACTTTCATCCTGTGCATCATCTTCGTTCACAGGCGACAACTCGAAGCACGGCTTTCGGCAGAAGTACAGCGAGCACCCAAAAGGAGGTCTCGGCTTCGCTTTTTAATTCCAAACCCAAAATGGTCTCCTGTGCTCAACCTGTTTATCCTGCTTCGCTAACTTCTGAGAAGCCGGAGCACAGCTTCCTGAGGATCACGGCGAGCGTTCGGTCGACCGCACGTAGGCCTCCCCCACCAGCTGGAAGCGTCTCACCCGGTTTATCCTTCTTCGCTGGCAGGCGAGAACTCGGAGCACGGCCAAGAGCAGTACGGCGAGAGTCGTTTGACTTCGCGTAGGGCGCCGCCCTCAACAAAATCCATCCGGGTGTTTCTTTCTTCCATAGCAGGCGCGACCGGAGCACGGCTTTGAACAAAAGTACGGCTAGAGATTATTCGACCCCGCTCAAGGCCCCTCGTACTAGAGATTCAGTTCGATGGCAGGCGAACATTCGGAGCACGAATGCAGAGAGGAGCACAGCGAGCAGGCGTTCGACCCTGCGCAAGGCCCGGCCCCCTTGCAAAGCTCAAATAACTCAGAATCAGCTCACTCCGTGTATTGTTCTCTGCTCTCAGGCGAGAATCCGGAGCACGGTTCTGGGGAGGAGTACGTTTTCGACCCCTCGCAGGGCCCCGCCCTATGTTAAGAACAAACATCCAGATCGTCTCACCCGCTCCCTTAGACCCGGACTTGGATCCGACTACTCTTTCTCGATTCCTAACTTGTTATCCAGCACGTCTTATAAGGTGTACTCTTTCTCTGCTGGCAGGCGAGAACCCGGAGCACGGTTTCGAAGAGGAGTACGGCGAGGAGGCGTTTGACCCCGCGCAGGGCCCGGTGGTGTTCCACCCGCCGCTGCTGCACGAGCCGTGGATGGCCAAGTACGAGCACCGCCAGCTGGAGAAGCTGCTCGCGCACTGGGAGGACCTCAGCGGGGAGCTCAAAGTCGACTTCTCGCGCGCGGGGCCCGAGATTAACAGCAGCCGCGAGGCCTGGGAGCGAGGTGGGTTTTTGGGCATTTGAGTTCTAGGGCTTTAGGGTTTCGAGGTTTAAGACTGTTCAGATTTCTAGGGTGCTAGTGGCTTCCGGAGCACGCGGTGTGTTTATGGGTTTGGTCGGCGTCGCAAATCAAGCCTCGAAGTAGGCTCGTTGACAGCGCCTTATCTAGATGAGAAAGAAGCTATTGAGGGGAGCGCGAAGTCGACTTCTCGCCCGCGGCGCCCGAGACTCTCAGCACACGCGAGGCCTGGGAACGAGGTGCGGGGGGGGATGTGTGGGGCTTTGCTTGGCGTAAGCTTTTGGGCAGGCAGTGTAGATTGATAAGATCTTGCGCGCGGGGTCTGACGGCAACAGCAGCCGCAAGGCCTGGGAACGAGGTGCGATGAGGACCCTCTATGGTCATTATTCTGCCAAACAGTTCTGGGCACGCGGTATGAGTAAGGGTTTGGTTGGTGACGGGGATCAGGCCTCGGAATAAGGCTACTGTTAAGCAAAAAAATCGGTGCAGAAGAGGTGATGTTAGTGGAGCTGTCAAGAAAAGGCTCTGCTTGCAAAGGCCGCCCCAATAGTTCTGTGGACTTTCGAAACGACTCCCCTTTCCAACTTCGTAAAGGTGGGCAGTCGCCGGCGAGAATTTGCCTCTGCAGCCGGAGATTGCGTTTTTCACAAAGTCACAACGCATGCGCAACGGTCATAGACAAAAAGATAGCACTAGCTGCTCAAGGCCTACACCTCACTTGGACTCGGAGTCCTGCCGGATCTGCTGCTCTGGAGAGCCCTGTCTGGTGGTCTCAAGTTTCAAACGGACTTTTGGGGTCTGTTAACTTAACTTCGACTGTTTGCTAACCACGGCTTTTTCCACCTCACGCAGGCGTGTACGAGAACAGCTTCGAGAACATCGAGGCGCTTCTGAAGCTGCCGCCCCCTCAGCCTGTCACGTCCAGCGCCCCCGCCAATGAGCCCTCCCCTGAGCAAGCAGAAAGCAGCAAAAGGCCAAAGCCGAACCCGGGCGCTGAAAGGCCCCGGGCGAATAAAGGCAGCCCCCTTCTGGCACTGCCGAATCTGCTGCTGTTCGACATTCTGAACCGATGCACGGGTAAGGGTTCTACCCGGTTGGGTGCCTTTTTTTGATCTTTTTCCTACCCAACAGCAGTGCGAAAAGTACTGCTGTTGACAGATTGCTCGGAATGGCGCTGAAGGAACACCTAGGGTGCCTCCTTGAGTGCATGGTGACGTCAATGCCGTCCCTTCACTGGTGGGCCGCTCGACCGTTGCTCCAGGCTTTCAAGCCCACTGTGACAGACAGAGCTCGCGTTTCGGAGCCTAAGGTTACGTATGGTGCACGTCATCCTAGTGGGCTAGTCACTCACAGGTCAGACGTGTGGCTGTATACACTACTTCCTTTCCCTTTGAAGGACAGGAATAAAGCGGCCCTACTAATCGCTCTCAAAAGTCCTCAAGACAACCACATCGCGCTTCAGACCCTGATCCCTCCCCTTTCGACAGGCGAGGCTCTGGCCGCCGCCGCAGCCACGTGCACCACCCTGGAGCGCACCATCGCGCTGGGGGGGGTCTGGAAGCACGCGTGCCTGCGGGACTTCGCCCCCCCCGGGCCGGCCACTCCGCTCCCCGACGTTCCCCCTCAGGAGTGGGGTCAGGCGTACCGTGAACTGCGCAGTCTCGCGAAGATGGGGTGGGCGGAATGGGACGTGAACCCGATGCGCGCACAAGCCGCGTGGCGCGAGAAGAGCGCGGAGAATGGGCTGGAGTACGCGAAGAACGTGCCGCTGCCGTGCGACAGGCACGCGAACGCGGTCTTTGGGGACAAGGTGAGCAGGACTTTGCGAAGCGTGGATTCGCAGCCCTGCCGTTCGATACGACGTTAGGACTGCAAAGTCAGTTCTAGAATTTGCAAGCGTTGGAAGGAGAAGTTCTGATACTCGCTTATCAATCGCCCTCAACACTGCTGACAATTGGACCGTAATAGGAATTCAAAGCGAGACACGCAAGCGAATGTCTTTCCGGAATCCCTTGGAGAAGATGCAACTCGGTGCAAGATTGAAACCTCGCACATGCAGCTGGTCCTTACCGGCGGCACCCCCCACAAGGTGGGCCTTGTCGCCGTTATTAATTGTGACAGGGCAGACAGAGATTTCACTGCTTCAAGAAAAATGATACTCTGTGGTCAAAAGGTAGGCCTCTCAAGTCGAGCTGTTCCGCCATTCGCTGTAGATTTGACTTGCACGAACCCTTTTCTTATCGTTGCCGCAGCTGATTCTAACGGGCGGCACCCGCCACAAGGTGGGCCTGGCCGGCACGTTCGTCTTCGACTTCCGCGCGAAGCAGTGGTCCAAAGTGCCCACCAAGCTGCGCCGCCGCTTCCTAGACGGCGTCACCGTCAAAGCCGTCGACTGGGAGCTCCCGGCGCGCCGCGGCCACACGATGACGCCCATCAACGGCCACGAGGCGCTCATCCTGTTCGGCAAGCGCGGGCTGACGCCCGCCGAGCTGCAGCGCGTGCGGCGGGCCTCGCAGCGGGCCGGGAATGCGCCGAACGACTTGGACGCGATCCAAGCGGGGTGGGCGCGCGCGAACGAAGAACTGGACGCAATCTGGGGCGCGGAGGCGCTCCACGGGTTATGCGCCGACGCGTACGTCTTAGATGTTGACACGTGGACGTACGAGAAGCTGGAGGCGCGGGGGATCCCCCCGGCGCCCCGGAAGGGCCACACGGCGGTCGCGCATCCGGACGGGAAGTCGGTCGTCGTTTTCGGGGGCCTGCTGAGCTCGAAGGAGCGGGTGGTCGCGGACGCCGACGAGCAGTGTATTTCCACCGCGGGGCTGCACGTGCTGGCCCAGGAGTGTGAAAAGGGGCGCCGGGTGTGGGTTTGGCGGGAGGTGGAAACTACCGGGGAGGCGCCGCATGAGCAGCATGGGCACGGCGCGTGTGTGGTGGGCGACCGGATGATTGTGCTGGGCGGCCGAGAGGGTACCGGGCGGAACGCCGGAAACCGTGTAAAGGTAAGGATTGAGCCCTAGCCCGCCACGTGCTAATCACAAATTAGGTTCCCTCGTTCGAGATCTTGACTTCTGGGCTGTTTGATAAATTTTGCTTACTTCAGTCCAGGAAGAAAGCGATACAACGTCCCACCGCTTTGGTGGGACGTTGTATCGCTTTCGTGGTACTTTGGTCGGGCTCGCGTACAGAAATTGTTTCGACACGTTTCAAGGTCTGGTCTGTCATTTATCTGTGAGCAATTCCTCGAGTTTGAGAACCTTGCTAGGAACCCGGACCTTCCAGAATAATTTCCACAAGTTGACCGTTTTCCCCTTATCCTGTCTGTTTTCTGCCAGCTATGGAGTCTCAACTTGAAGTCGATGCACTGGTCCCAGCCCCCGGTTGACCAGTCGGAGTCGCCGCCCGTCCTTCGCCTCTACTGCGGAGGCCCAGTTGTTGTGGGCGACAACGTCATCCTAGTTGTCGGCGGCGTTCGCGTTGTCTACTTCAACCTGCGAGACTCTAAATGGCGGTACGAGGACTATAACAGCGAGCTTCGGGTCAAAAGCTTCGACGTCGAGAGGAACGTCACTCATTCCAGAGCTCCGGTTGCGAGGGCGGGCCACACGCTAGCGCGATACGGTTTTTCCATCTACATGGTGGGGGGGGATGTGAAGAGCCACAATGTGTTCGAGAACATGCCGGTCCTTGACCTGCTGGGTTATGATGTCACGCCGAGGGCCTGAAGGGGTGATTAAGACAAGCAGACGTAAAATATGGTTTGAATAAAGAGGCTGTCCATGTCAGGTTGCATAAGGTTGTTCGGACACTTGTTTCTCATGCCGCAGCTTCTTGTGTTTGCTTGACCTGCATGTTTATATAAACACAATCCAAAGTGAAAATAGAAGGTTCGCCGTGCTTGAGCGACAGAACACGAGGACAATTCATGTATTTTAGATTGGTCACTTCCATCATAGAAGTCCAGAATCATTTCAATCCGGTGCCAGGTGGAGAACGTCTTGATCAGATGCGACTCTCCGTTGATCACATCCTTCCGTGCATGTGTTCCATGTTACAGAAATGTGTCTACGGCCTTGATTGACTTCAGTCACTTAATGCACTTGCACATGAATGCACCGGACTTGTGTGAGCGCTCGAATCAGGAAGTCCGCAGGATTTTGGACTGCATTTATAAGCTTAAAATCTGTACGAAAAATGCCTCACAAAGGTTGCGAGATTTGGCTCGACTGGGCCCGCGTGCGGCGC